GCATGCAACTCCAAGGCAGTACCACATAGCTATTTAAAATGGAGGACACATCATGAACTTTGTGCCTGTGATTCTTCAAAAGATGAATATAGTTACGTGTTTCTCACACTTAAAATACTATTATCCTTGTAAAAATTGTGTATTATGTGGGACATGCTTCAGGTTAGAATATGTAGTAATAGGAAATTGCTGCATAGCTCTGGATGGTCTGAAACTCACAGAGATCTACCTGCCTCTGCCTCCCAAGTTCTTTTTAAAGGAGTGTGCCAGTGTTCCAGGCCACATAAAAGCACCAGGTGAAATATACAAAGGTGATAAATGTGCTCTCTAATTCTTTATTGTGGGCAATAGCACAATGGCAACAAATAAATCAATCCATGAACAGTTTCTTGATGTGATAATAGAAACATTTGCTTACTTCTTAAAGCTATTAACATGTAGCAGGTATTTCTAAATCTAATTCTAACAAAGTCCTCAAAGAGATCTTGACATACATTGTAAAATCTGAAGTCTTTGGTCATTTGTAGCTGAGTGTTGGGACATGGGTGTGTGGGTAGTGTGTGAGTACACGTGGCTCCATCAAATGAAGACTCAGAGGCACCTTAAGAATGTATTTAGCTGTTGGCGGCTGCAGGGGGTACAGCCTGGAAGGACTGAAACACCTTCCTTTGCCTAGGGCATATTTATTTACTCTCTATTACATTTTAGCTAGTTAATTGCTTTACCTTCAAAGCAATCTAAATGGGGCTCCCAAAGACCAAATGCCAGGTGCAAACTACTTGATTTATCAGGTATCATGATTTTCCAGGTTTCCTGAACCAAGTTTTGCATAGGCCTTTGATCTTTGGGGGACACTCTGATCTTTGACTCTCATACAAGAGTCACATAAGATAAGAAAATTAAAAAAAAAGAAAGAAAGGAAAGGAAAGGTAAGAGAAACGAAAGGTGTGGATAAACAACAGAAGGATTAGGGCTAGGTGTTACTCTCTGGAACCAGGCCAGGAGCTCCACAGGAATGCACTACAGTTGTATTTCTTTTTCCTTTGTGTTCATTAAAATCTCTAATGATTTCCATCGGGATCAGTTCTTTGTGCTCACCATCTTCTCACTGTTCTTGTTAGCTGAGACAGAGGAAAGCAGCAAATTCAGGATCATATCAGAATTTACTATTTAGCTGAGTAACATCTCCACCCAATATAAAGAAAATCAAACCTTTGCAGTGTTACTGTTATTTCTTAGTCTGTGATGGCTTTATGATTTGGTTCATAAAAATGATGCCCCATTTAATATTCATAAACATGTGCCCTATGACATCTTCAAAGTCATTCATTTAATTGAATTGAATTCAGTGCCATGTAAACAGAGAATACACTGGCTGTGGGACCAGCACAGCCACTGAAGCCACCACGGCCCATCTGTCCATCTCTAGGGAATGAGGACAATTTCAGTATATGACATACATGACACATGATAGTTTTTCAGCAAAACAGGTTTATTTATTAAGTTATTACATTTATATTGGGATGACAAAAGTATCTTTTTACCTTTAAAGAAAGATCTCCATTTCTGACATTTAAATGCATCAGTATAAACTTTAGACATTTTATGAACATAAAGTATAGTGAAATACACGAATTTATCAATTAATTCAAATTTTAGCTTTGAAATTTGAATCATGACACAGAGTAACATGCAAACTGAAGTCATGCATAAAAGCCTATTACAAAGTCTTTACCTTGTGTTCTGTCCTCTGTCACATGGTGAATAGCAAAAATAACTGAACTCTGGCTTCCGTTCAAGATAAGGTTCAAAACACAGAGCCTTCTAGAAAGAATATCACAGCTGAGTGAAAAGATCCCACAGAAAACTGTTGGTTGTCTGTGCAGCAGGCTCTTGGCATCTTCAGAAATTGGTTGTGCAGAGAAGTGTGAGAACATTGAATTGGTCTATTAACTGTCCAGTAGAAATCAAAGAAGAGCTGTTTTTCTCTGTTCTACAGGAACTGGGAATCTTAAGTGGAATATTTTTTTTCTTAAGGAAAGGCAGATAACTCTAATGTGTATTGAGTATCTGTCTAGAATGTATTCTCAAAATATGAAACCTGTTCTATAATTTTTTAAAACTTTTTAGCAACACATTGAAACCTTTTATTTAAGTACTGTCTTCTCAAGGAGAAAATGCATGGAAAAACCACTCCAGAGAAGTAACCTTTTGGATTTTAAAACTGTTCATTTGGGAGAAGTCTCTCTCTCTATATATGAATACACACATATACACACACATATATAATATGTAGTATAATATATTATTTTATATTCATATATTATATATATATATTCATATATATATATGTAATTATGGCCTGAGGAGAAATCAGAGTATTGAAACTAGTCATTTTGAACAGCTAAAGAGAAACTAATCAAGAAGAATTTAAATATCTTCATGGTTGATGAAGTAAATCCTAACTAAAGCAACAGAACTCTGAAATTATGGAACAGTGGCAGATGGGAGGATATATGAAGCTTGAGCTAGTCACTAAAAGTCAGTGGTTCAAGCTAATCATCTGTCTCATTTATCCAGAGGGCCTGATTCAGTTGGGGGCTCCTCAGCTATTGGTTCATAGTTCATGTGTTTCCATTCGTTTAGCTATTTGTCCCTGTGCTTTACCAACCTTGGTCTCAACAATTCTCGCTCATACAAACCCTCCTCTTTCTCACCAATTGGACTCCTGGAGCTCCACCTGGGGCCTGGCAGTGGATCTCTGCATCTGCTTCCATCAGTCATTGGATAACAGTTCTACCACAACAGTTAGGGTGTTTGGCCATCCTATCATCAGAGTAGGTCAGTTCGGGCTGTCTCTCGACCATTGCCAGTAGTCTATTGTGGGGGTATCTTTGTGGATTTCTGTGGACCTCTCTAGCACTTTGCTTGTTCCTATTCTCATGTGGTCTTCATTTATCATGGTCTTTTACTCCTTATTCTCCCTCTCTGTTCTTGATCTAGCTGGGATCTCCCGCTCCCCTAAGCTCTCTTTCCCTTGAAACTTGCCCTTCATTACTCCCACTCACGTCCATGTGGTTCATGTAGATCTCATCCATTTCTCTGTCATTGGGCAATCCCTGTGTCTTTCCTGGGGTCCTGTTTTCTAGGTAGCCTCCATGGAGTTGTAAGTAGCAGCCTAGTCATCTTTGTTTTACATCTAGTATCCTCCTATGAGTGAGTACATA